CTTTTCCACAGAGTTTTCTCATATATCTAAAACACAAATCTTATGAGTCGGTGACAATGTGGTATGTTATTTGATGTGTGAGGATATGCACTTTTGTAATAGAGTAAAATCCTTTTACATCTTGCATCCCATGCTAATCTAAAAATTTGTAGGAATAGTTGTTCGTTGATCACTAGCATCGTCGTCTTAACATGTTAGCATCATATATGACATTCTAGGAAAAGTAGCCTTGTATGATATGATCGTGTACAACTTTATGATCTCTATTTAAAGCAACTATCCTCCTTAGACACACACTTTCAGCATCATCAGAAAAAAAATGATGGTTGATGCTTCTACAATTGTTGTGAGAAAAATGTGTAGTACCTTGACCAATTGTCCCATGAATATGATGACGGAGATGATGGAAAAGTGCTTCCATATTTTAATTCTCAAACTTATATAAACAAAGAATTTAGAAATATCGAGTAACATGAGTGTGTAAAACTATTGAGGATTAAATGGGTATTTGTAGGTTAAAACCTTAAATTTCAATTATTTTAATTGCCAATGGTAAAACATAAAAGATAAAAGATAAATGGGGAGTGACACCGCTCTTACGGTGAGGTCGTCAAACTATGAGGCCGCTAGGGACGGTATGGTGTTTCCAGCGGGACCATTATGCCACATCACCTCCTTGTATGTTGCTGGGTGGCCTATGGTCTGACATTATAACAACGAACTTTGGAGATGAAAAAATCGACACACTAAAGGTAATCTTATATTATATTTAACATTGGTCTCATCTCAAACCTAGCTTGGTTTCGTCTCCTTCTGTAAGTGAATTTGAAGTAAGGTTCTAAATGGTCTGAAGGGTGGCGTAGCGGAAAGGTCAGGCCTCCATCTTTTACGAGTCATGGTGTTTTTAAGGCGTGATTTATAACGACAATTTTGTATACATACAAAACAAAAAGAAATCATATAATTATAGATTTATATAAAATATATCATTTTTTAAGAGTTATATCAGGTTTTAATAACAAAAAGTTAACAAAGACTCAATGGTTTCATTCCCAATCTAAAAAAGTCAAAAAGAAAAAGAAAAAAAATATATGTCTTGAAAAACACTCGCACCATAACGTGCCTTGACCCGCATTGCCTAACATCGCAGTCATGAAGGTTTTCGAGACGGTGTAGTCATGCCTTGCACCTTGGCACACCCCATGACACTCATTTTAAAACCATGATTTGAAGTGGATATTAGAGGGATATCGAAATCAAAGGGCGAGATTATGATGATTTAATCCAGTTACCCATTGAAGGTGATTGAAATGAAGATATGAAAATGGTGGGATTTTTATCTTGATGGAAATAGATATCTCAAAATTAGAGGACAAGATTGAGATGATTCTTTTTCTAGAGTTGTATGTATGGTATGCAAAAGAAAATATGATGAAGAATGGCCTTTCTTCTTTGTGTATTTGTCACTGAATTGCAGGTGGGTAGAAAAAATGAAGAGTAGGTGTGGAGATGATGATGGTCGTGTTTCTGGCTCTCAAGAAGGAGGTGCAGAGACGATGAACATGAGCTAAGAGCTTTTGATGTGCATCAGAAGATGATAAACCAAGCTTTTGGGTGTTTAAAGATGAGCATCACCTTCTTTTTCTCTCCGATGATTTGAAGGTGTGGTACAAAAAACAAGAATATGGGATATTTCAGAAATGGTCATTGTCCAACTCAGCTTACATAAGCCACATCAGCAAATGGTTTCCGGCTAAGAGTGGATTAACATGCTAAATGTCATTTAGGCAAAACAAAAGATGGGGTGAAACCGTCATTTTTAACAAATCCAAGAGTTTTTTTTTAACTTCCCATAAAATATATAATACTTTGTCCATGTGGGTAAATAAACCATAAATGTACCATAAAAATCAAACATCCTATTCACTTCATCGCGTGAGACACGGTCGTCAACTTGTTGATCGTGTCCATGTACTAGTACCATAAAAAGCAAACATTTTGTTGACTTCATTGTGTGGTTGCCAATTTATTGACCATGTCCATTAGGCTAAGGGGTATGGTCACACCCAGCCTACTCAAAAAGTGACGTCACATCAGCGCCACATCACCTCCACTACCAACCCACTAACTCTTGGAAATGGTCACCACACCGCATCATTTTTTCTTTTTCTTTTTTTTGTTTTTTTTTTACGTTAGAATAATTTAAAAAATAATTATTAAACAAAAATAAAAACAAAAATATTAATTAAAAACATTTTACATTAATTTTAAAAACAGAAATTTAAAATCTACATTACTTAAAAAAAACATAATCATTTAAAACCTAAATTACTAAAAAAACATAGACAATATTACTCGTCGTCCTCCTCGTCGTCATCCTCATCGTCATCCCTGTCGTCGTCATTGTCACCGTATTGCTGGAATTGTCTTTGCCATATATGCTCAGTCAAATCATAACGTAAATTGTGATGTGTTTCACTATTTTGTATTTCCAAAAGTCGTGTGAAGTATGCAGGGCTGCCGACTTGTATTACTGCAGGTGGGTTAAGAATATCCTCCGGATTATACATACAAATAGCCCTGCCATCTTCTTCAATTATCATGTTATGTAAAATAACACAAGCAGTCAACACCTTCGTCAATTTCGCCCTATCCCATGA